TATCTTCAATTATCAGATCACTCTTGTAATGATGATTCCATCTCATAACTGTAGTTAACTTCCTTTTTTCTTTTTGCTTCTTTTTGCTTTTATACTATTGCTTGGAGGGTTTTTGTTTTGTCTTGGTGTGAAAAAAATGACTTTATGGACCATTAACCACTAACTAAAACATCCTTTTTGATTTTGGTAATGGCTCAACCGGTTATGAGATAATACATAGGAAGGATTTTTAAGCCTTTGACTCATTTTAATGCTTTATTGAATGGTAGAGATTTTTGAGGAGTAGGGGTGAACTGGTAGAGTTCTAGATTTGGGTACAATTCCCAATGTTTGAATGTAAAAATTTATAAATGACTCTAGATAAATAGGCTCTATCTTTTACTCAGTGTTGCCATGCACTTGGCAATTTGCCAAAATTCCTGTCTGGGACCTGATATCTCATGTAGGTGGTACTAGACATGGTAGGCAGCCATGAGCTCAGAATAAGGTAACTGGGCTTATGTCCAAGTTCACCTCCTCTGTACAAGTGGCCATATTTACATTTGTGAGGAATTTTCCTTTTTTTCTAATTGATCTTGCCGTGAGGTAGGATTATTGGCTTCCTTTGGGGATGCCATAAGCCTCTGAGAGGTCAATCATGGCTTTTAGGCTTTTTTGATTGATTTGCAAATAGTGTGGGAAGGTCACTGGTTTTGTCAATTATCTGAGATTCACATTGTGTATAATGGGACACTGAATTTCCCTTTCATATGATGAAAGTGGCAATACTGCTGAAAGAGATGCCAATGAAATCTGAGGGATGTGATAAAGAGGCATTTTGAGGGACCCGTGAGCCAGTAGTAGAATCATTTTTTCCATTCTTTTGTTAAATGTCTATTGCATACTATAAGGTCAGTTCTTATTACCTTCGCCTGACAAATACTTGGTTAGACTCCTTAAATACATCCACGATGCATTCTAGGGCTAGTACAGTTCCAGTTCTCCATCTAATGTCTTTGCTAGCATCATCTATTTAGTAAGAACCAGCATTCATAGCAAAACCCCAAGGCAATATGGCACCTTTGATCACTTTCTGTGTACTCTATTTCTAAAAGAAATAATATGTTTTAGTAGGATTTTAGAAAACGCTTTTGGTTTAGACCTTGGATAACCTGATAAGAGTTACTAACTATGGCAGAAAATGTATCTGTTTTGCTTAGCACATTATCTTTATCAGGGCATAGTGACTCTCTCTCTCTCTCTCTCTCTAAGCAAGTATTTGCAGAATGAATAAATAAACATAAAAGGTCACCTGTCTAAAGTTTTATTGTATGTTTCCTTTCAAAGTATACTCCATGTGTAAAATTACATACTGCTCTAGAATTAAACACATTATCAGAAAGACTTCACTAGAAATAGTATTATTGACTTTTAGAGAGAGAAGAGTTTTTTCAAGACCATCTCAGGGAGAAGGAGGAGAATCACAGGTGGTAAGAGATTCTATTTACTTTTAAAAATAAATAACTGAAGATTTCTTATTCATCTCTCATCAAATTATCGTAATAATTTGAGGGATATAAATCAACTGACCAAGGAAGAGATAGAATAGAGTAAAAGCATTCCACTGCTGATGTAACAATTCTGTTTTAGAGGACCAGAGTTGAGCGTTTGTAAGAAGAAGGTTTCACTGGTAATAGGAACACACGAGTCTAGTCGCAGAATCTTAAGTGTTTTCGTGGTGGAGTGAAATGTGTGGATAACCATTAGCTTTACTGTTTTGCTCAAGTAGTTTTTGATGCCAGAAAGATGGTTAAGATCAGGTTTATTGTTTTTTTTAGCTACTGGGTTAAACATGTGAATCAAAGTCTAGTATTTCAATATTCAATTGCTAAGATATGAGGTAGAATCCCTAGCAACTCTTTGCAATTAATTCAGAATTTAAAATTAATGAATATATGTATAAATACAATAATATATAAAAGGTTCCCGCCATGATCCGCTTATTTAGATAAGGAGAACTGTTCATTTGATTCCAGAGATAGTAAGCTATTGTAAGCTGTTCTTCAAAACAGTATTTACAGAAAGAAAATTAGGTGAGAGGAATAAAGGCAGTGTCCAAAATAATATTTATAATATCGTTCAGTCAAATTCATAATATTAAGTGAAAATATTCTATCAATAATTAATCACAAATTCAGCAAACACTTAAAAAATACTTTTAGTTTCTTTTCAAACTTTTTTTCTGCATATGAAGGGATCAATTGTTCATAGAATTTAGAGAGCCAATCATATGATTTGTTTGATTGAAGTTGATACAAAGTGACAATAACCCTACTTTGTAGTTTTGTTATGTTTCTGTTGCCTTAAACAGTTGAGCCAGTGATATCTACATATACTCTTTCAGTTTTTTCTTATGGTGTACCTTAAACTACATTTTTGAATACTTGATCTGTAGCTCATGCTTTGAAATGTTTGAATGAGTATGTAGCTAATTGCTATTTTAATTAGCAATACATTGATAAGTACCAATTAGTTCATGATAGAAAAATAATTGGAAAAACATTCAGAAGATGAAATGCTTCTTCCAAAGCACAGTCATCCATTAACATATTTTGAGAAACTATTGTGTGAGCTATTTCCATTATGTTTTTGTAAATTGATACAAATTAAAATGTCAATAAAGTCATTATTGACAACATGCTACCATAATATGAAGTGCGCATACTTCTGGAAATTTACCAATGCATCTCCCTGTCTTCATTGTATTAACTACAGTATCTTCTGGAGACTACATTTTCAAGGGCATTTATCTGGTCAAGATTATTTAACATTTCATTTTTTACCTTTTTAAAAACACTTTGGTTAAAAAAATACTTGGGTTGATTCTCTGAAATTGTTTTCTAATACTTTCTTAATGTATGAAAGAAGATGTCGAAACACAGGGGTATTGAGGTACATGTTCGAATTCTTGACAAAGTTTGAATTAGCTCTTGTCTTTGGATGAGTCAAGAGTAAAACCAAGAAAACACTGAAAATGATTTTGCTTATAGCTACAAGGAATTAAAATACCGAGAGTAAAAAAAAAAATCATGTTTAGAGTCAAAAAACAGCTTTTCTTGGGAGAAAATTTTACAAGACATTTAGGAGTCTGTTATTTTCTCACAATACAGAAGACTTTGCTACAATTTATGAGATTTATACCTGAGAGGCATTTTAAAGGGACAGAGGGCTATTACTATTCTCATTACTACTAAGTAGCCATGATAGAAAAGAAACCTTTTAGAATTCAGCAAGAGGAATAGGAAAGGTAGACACTCAAGTTTCCTAGTTTCTTTGAACAGGCAAAAAATAATAAGTCCAGTTCTTTTGGCAGGAACTCATTTAAGGCTTATTCAAAGAGTTTATCCAAAGCACCCGTGTGTGCCGATTTTCTTCTTAGAAACCAGCTAAGCCTCTGAAATGGGTCAGTGTGCTTCAAGTACTCAATTGCCTCTTCTAGACACGCTCTTTTAAGCACAGGTGCTAAGTGGAGGGTCTTTCTGAGCCTTACTCACTCTCTGACAGGAACTTGGCAATCCAGACGGTTCTTAGAATTGACTGCTCTATGGGATTCATCCTGAGTTATTTACAAAGCTCCAGTTGTTCAGGTCAATCAGCTCAAACTGTCAGCACAGGGGCAGGAACGAGAGGGAGGGGAATGGGAAATGGAGGTAAAGTGACTGCGTTGCTTAAGAAAGTTTTTTCTGGGATTCCATATGTAACCATCTAAAAGTTTCATGGATCTTGAATGACTACACTCTAAATGAGTTTTGGATTCCCTCAGAAATAAACTCAAATGATGTAGAGACTTTAAATCAGCATTTCCCCAAATAACATATACATATTTCTTCAGTTAAGTGTTTTGGTTTTATTGGAATAGCAAGAAACAGGAGGTATCCTGTCTTTTTCTCTTACAGTATGGTCTGACTACACTACATTTTTAGAAATGAAGCTGTTTTTTTTTTTCCTACTTTTAACTTTTTTCTAATGCTAATACAGTTGAAGAAAGAAACTTAAGATATTTAGTCCCATGTTTTTAGATCATAAGGCTGAATCTCTCAATTATATTTTGGTTTTGATTTTTGTAGTTGAAGAGTAAAGTTATTTTTATAATTCAACTTCTAAATTGGTAAGTTTACTACTACAAATTAAACTATATGATTATGCAGTTAAACAACATGTAATGAGCTAACCAATGAAGAATTACGTAGCTCTTGTCTTGTTGTAGATAAATGCAAGCAAGCAGTTCTAAAACCACTAGATGGCATTCATTCCCTATAATTTTGGCCAAACAACCTTTCAAAGCTTTACTGTGATGTGCAAGGTTGGGAGAAGGCAAATGTTATCCATTATCTGATGATATATACCTATCAATTAACACAATGACAAAACTCAGTTTTATTTTTACCTGGCTGCTTCAAATCAAATCAACAAATATTTATTAAAAGCTTTACTCAAGAATTTTTCCTTGTCGAGGAGAGTTGAAAATCATCTTAACTCTGGTGGTAAAATCTAGCAGAAAATATACTACATACAATAATCTACTTAATTTTCTTGTATTTCATTGTTTTACTAATATATGCCATTATTTCTCATGTAGCTACTTCTCTAAAAGTTAAAAAAGTACACCACAAATTTAAAATCTTTGTAATATTTTAGATAGCAGTCATCCTGAAAACTAACACTTTTGAAAATTGGAGGCCAAGAGCTCTGACAATACACAAAAGATCCTTTGATAGTTCAAGTCTTAAGAATGTGTGACAAATATCGTCTCCTACATACATTGACACCTAAGGACAAAAAAGGCCTTTGGTAATAATAGATTGTGGATTGGTCCCAGAGATAAACCATGGACTGAAAGCTCCCAAACTTCATTCTATAGACTAAAAGGTTGAGAGAAGACTTTGATGCGGACAAGTCAATAGAAGTTCAATCTTTTTGTGTATAAGGTCTAGGTTAATAATATAAAATCTAGAACTTACCTGTTCTAGTATGTTTTGAAGTCTTTCTATTTCACAGTCTATTACAAATTTCTTTTCTTGTCTTCTATCAAGTTCTTCTAGAAGTTGCCTATAGCTGACATCATTGAAATTTTCCACACATATAGCGCTGACATGCCAACCATTTTGTCCTGCTTTTTCCATAATAGCTTGGAGTATTGAGTAACCTATTGGAGAAAAACAAGAGTTATTAAAAACATGCTTTCACTGTCCTTTAATGACTTATGCAGGCACTGAGACCACATCAACACTTTTATACTTTTATGTTCCAAAATTTACTGAATACTTAGAAACTTAAATCTGAATTATTTGTTCTTGCTTTTTTTTTTTTTTTTTTTACTCAAGGCAACAAAATCTCTTAAAATATTTATTGAATGCAATAACAACACCATACACTGTGTAAGCTCTCAAAATCTCTCTCTCTCTCTTTTTTTTTTTTTGAGTTGGAGTCTCACTCGGTCACCCAGACTGGAGTGCAGTGGCCGCTCCCGGCCACCGCAGCCTCGACCTGCTGGGCTTCGGCGATCCTTCCACCTCAGCCTTCCAAGTAGCCGAAATTACAGGCATGCGCTACCATGCCCGGCTGATTTTTTGATTTATTGCGCAGATGAGGTCTTGCTGCCCAGGCGGGTCTCGAACCCGCTGGCTCAGGCAATCCACTAACCTCAGTCTCCCAAAGGCGTGGGATTACAGGCTGAGCCACCGAGCCCAGCTCAAAATCTCTTAACTAGCGAATATTGCATTGTTCTAGACATATTTTTAATGAAATACGCAAATAACCAAATCTGTAACCACCTGTAGTCAATAATTTCATAAATCCTTTTTATTTTACTCACTAAACAGACCTCATTTTGAATAGCCATTTGACTCTTCCCTTGAGCAAGGTTTAAGGACATTTTTGGTTCAACTATGGAAGAGAAGATGTAAAAGAAACTGTACAGCAGCATTTATTGAGGACCCCTTATTATCAGTGCCTCATTCAGTGACATGCATGGGTACAGACTGGAGATGCATTATTTAACTCTTCCTCTTTTGGTGGGGAGATGGTTTAGATTGGGGATAAATTGAATGACCACTAGATGAGGCACTGAGTACTCATACTCATTCTGGTAGAATAAACAAATGCAAATAACATAGTTTCAAAAAGAATAATGACAGCAGCATTCAAAGCAAAGTTTTGGCCCAAGGGAAGGCTTGGTCAAGTCTGCCTGGACAGAACAACAAAAAATATCAGAGGAGAAACAACTTGAATTGGGTTTTGAAGGTTGGGAAGGAGTGTGCAAGATTGCTGGAGTTAGGGGTGTTTATAAGGATGGGTGTGTTTTTCATCCCATCCCATGGAATGGATGGTCTCCACCCTGTCTTTGATCTAGATCTCTTTGCATGTGGAAGGAAAGTCATCTGGTCCAAGCACCTAGGTCAAGGAAGGGGTTATGAACTTGTTATCCAAACATTTGGAGTATATCTTCATGTCAACATGGTTTTAAAATCTTTCTTTTTTTTTTTTAATCACTTGGTTTTTAATTGTAATGTGAAAGAAGAAAAGTAAAAAGATTTTTAAAATATCCATTAAAGAAGGACTGGTTAGAATCAGAACTTGTTAGCCAGCTTTTTTTTTTTTTTCACTTTATGGCTTTGCATAAATAAAATAAAACAATATTCTAGTTCTCTTTAGGAAAGTCTAATACTTATTTGAGTTTATTCTTTAGCAGATGCCTATCATTTCTTCTTGCTTCGATCCTGGAATTAGGGTAGAGAGTTGAGTGGATTAAAAGCGAGGATTTAAAATAAATACAAAGAATGTATGCTAAGAGTCTATTTATTCAGTTTTCTGATTGGTACGTAAGGCTCACAGTTTCAGGGATTTTTAATTTTTTAGGTATGTTTTCTATGTCGGAGTTTCAAACATTGCTGATTGCTCATTTAATATCAACAGATGGAACTGATGATGAGATCATATTTGAAATATAAATTATCTGATATCCTGCCAAATGAATTACTGTGGCAGTCGGGATTCATTTTTATCTAAATGAAAAAATAAAATAAAAAAATCCCCCAAAGAGGAAGAAAGAGAGCAAGTTAATTACCATATAATTATTCTGGAATACCTATTGCTCTATTTAGTCTTTCCTTTTGTAATGCATGCCTGTAATTATCTTTTCAAATCTTACCTAGATTTTCCCCTACTCAGGACTCTTTTTCTTGTTTCCCATTTAGTGCATATGTAACATGATGATATAAAACCTTCCTCAATATATTTGTTCATGCCTCATTTATGTCTGGTACCAGGGCTTGCTCTCTCATGGTAACTAAGGCAATGTTCCTTTTATACTTTTTTTTTTTACATCTACGAACATGTTTTTTGACTTAAAATGAATGCTTTTAAAAATACCAATTGACATTTTTCTTCTTTTTGTGTATAATCACACCAAAATAATTCTAAGACTTTGTGTTTGTTTAATTGAGTGCTGTAAAAAATAATAAATATCAGCCGCATACACAGAGGTAATCTTTCTGCTCCCTGAGATCAATTCACAGCTTGGCACAATTCTCTAAATGTTGCTGCTTTTTTGGGGCATCACGTGGCTGTCAGGTCTCATGTCAGTACTAGTCATCCATGATGTTATTCTCCTGCTGACATGACTTTTACAGAATGTAGAGCCAAACACTTTCTGATGAAATTTATACGTGTTCCCAGTTACACGGTGAAATTGAAAAATTCACACTAAAAACAAAATTGCAATTCAAATCTAACATTTCATTACCTAATTTTTTCCCCCCGATTTACAAGTGACATTAGAATTGAAATAAGACAGAACCCTAGGACACAATCTTTGTTGAATGGCAAAGAAAGTTGGCCACCTAAAAGTTGTGAATCATAGTCAGAAATAAGCGGCATCTTTTCAAGGCAGTGCAAAGGACATGCAGTAATAGAGCCTGTCTGAAAACTTACATTCTTTTATAAGCTGTGTTTGATTTTAATATGCTTTCTTATTATTCATTGCTACTCAGATGTGTATGTCATTTTTTTTTTTTGCCAAGATAGCTGGGAATATATTTTAACTAGGAGAAAATACTGTTGTTGAATCTATGATTATGTAACTAGGTTGTTATATAAACTAGAAAATTACAAGTCAAGTTATACAATTTCTACACCTGGTTATAATTTGTATCTCTTAGTTATTGGAAAATCTGTAATACAATATTGTTGGCCAAGATATGAATACTGCCGTTATGGGTGAATATCACATGACTAACAGGAAATTCACTACTGGAAAGGATATTTTAAGTCTTGCTTCTACTCTAAAAAGCTGTCTAACATTTTAATTCAATGTGATTTACTGAAAACCTAGTACATCCAAGATTCTTAAAGGTATATTGAGATAAACCAGGTTGTGATTCTGATCTTTACAAGAAATTTACTATCTAGCAAAACTGAGAATTAGGCAAACTATTCATTATGCAAAATACAGAGCATTTATAAATAACTTCAAAGTAATCACAATAATTTTTTAGATTACTAGGGAGAGCATACCTTGGGCAGATGCCATTTATTTCTGACTATGATTAATAGGGCTTTTTAGGTAACCAACTTTCTTTGCCATTCAACAAAGATTGTGTCCTAGGGTTCTGTCTTGTTTCAATTCTTTTATTACAATGAGTAATTAAAGGCTTTTCATAGTTATTAAGGAATAATCAATTACACATAAAATATTTTTGTTACTATTTCACATAAAGATATTACAAATTACGTTAAACAGCATCATAGTGGCGTAAGCAATCCTGCACTACCGAATCCTTACACATCAACATCTTTTACGACATCCATAGATAACGACCTGTTTTGGGTGAATGCCACCTGAGAGATGTCGCTGCTCACAACACAAGCTTGGCTTATTTATTTGATGTTCTCTTTTACAATAAATATTTAACTGTCTGTACATAGAGTAGCAGAAAGGGAGGCAGAAGACATTCATGCCGGGGAGGAGATAATTTTGAAAAGAAGGGAGTTCATCGTATGCCATTTAAAAACTTCACTTGGGTAAGAACTAAAAAGTGTCTATTGTGCTTTTCAGTGAGAACGTCACATGAACAGAGTCAATAGAATGCTGGATACAGATGTCATATTTCAGAAGAGTGAGAAACTGAGGAGAAAATGAGAAGACGTAAGAACGTGGAAACTATCAAGGACTATCATCAGGGTCATGAAGTAATGAGATGCATGGCAAGCTGTTCTAAGGAATACGGAATAAAGAAACATCTAGATTACAAAAGCTGGTTTGGGAAGGAGAGGACAAGTCTGTCCCATGGGAAAGAGGGTTGTTTGGCTTGAAAAGGGAAAGTGATAAGGGAACATAGCAGTTGCTTGTAGTTAAATGAAAACCTCACTCATTAATCTGTAAGTTGCTATGGAGGTACCTGCTACTACACCATCTCTGGTCTGGTGAAATCGTCAAGTGTCCAAAACAAATGGATTTGAGGAGAAAGGCGTGTGTGTCTGGAAGTCTACCTCATACTGTGTGTTGGCTTGAGTCACACAAAGGAATACGATTCTGTAATCCTCACTGCCTTTAATGCCACCATGCTGGAACTGTGGAGCAGATTTAATAACCATTTAATTTGGATTCTTTCCAAATAGCTTAGTACTGAAATAACATGTTCAAAGGCCATTGTCTGGACCCCAAGGTCTCAGCACACGGAAAGAGTTACCAACATGTAGTATGGTTGAAATTATCTGAAGCTATGACTATAGCATTTAATTATGCCACAGTTCAGAAAGAGTATACTGAAAATAGGCAAAGCTTTTTCCCACTTTTGAAGTTTGAAGTGATACATGTAAACAGATAAGATGGAATATCTTGAGTTTTCCCTTTTATACACTTAGGAGTAAAAGCAGAAAATCCATCTTCAAAGACAGGTTGAGAATGGCCATTTTTTTCATTTTTAAAATTTTAAAGGTGTGGAGTACAATTCAGGGTTAGGTCATATGTGGTCATTGTACAGGTACAGCTTGGGCCTCCCTTTGGTCCCCACTTCACCTGGTTTGAGATCAGGTACCCTTATTGATGTTATGTGCCCACCAGGCAGTGTTCCACTACAGTCAATCTCTTTCTTATAGTATTATGATAAATGTTCAGTGTCCGCTTATAAGTGAACATATGTGGTA